AGTCCAGAAAAATCACAGCAACCCAAACATCCAGCTAGACAGAAGACAAGAAAGACTACTAGACTGGGTTTCAATAAAAAGACTTTGTGAAAAGGAGCTGCATTATCAAAGATATAACCAGTTATGTCAAAACTTTTTATACACATGTATATTTATACACATAGTTTCAAGTCCCTTACTCAACTGCTTTAAAGAAAATTATGTTAATTTATCCACATGGAAAAGCTAGCTTCACATCTGAAATACATACTAAACCACTGAGAGATAGTTGTAGATGGGAGTGCACTGTACTGTCATGTTCCGTGTCTCAGCGAACTCTGAGAAAATCAGATATGGATTGGTACCTACAGAGCATTTTACCTTTCAGTAATTGCAGAAAGAAAAAAAACAAGCTAAAAATTGATCTATCACAACATCATCTTTGCTGTGAACAAGAAATTATTTATGAAGTTTTCAGCAGCTTTCACACAGCCAATTTGAACAGCCTCAGTTTAAATTATATTGTAATACATGCACAGCTAATGCAGTTTAGACATGGCAGTATAGCATGTCCAGTTCAAAGCCTGCAGAATCATAATAATTCAGAATGGAAAAAAATGTTATGACTTATGTTTGGATGTGGCCCAGAGTGCAACAAACTGAATAAGTATTAAAAATGAATAAATACTATTGAGTTGGAGGCTATTTCAAATCTAAGAAAGACAAGCAAAAGTAGAGAGAGATGCTGTGTTACTGTGAAGACCTAGATATTTCTAGGGAGAACGTTTTATTCAAATCCGTCAAAGTCAAAACCACAAATTTGGAGGAATGACTGTATTGCTATAGCAGTACACATACAGCTGCAGCCACGGTCTTTACCTGTCTTAAATTATTATTATTATTATTATTATTATTATTATTATTATTATTATTATTATTTTACTGACACAAAAACACAGTATGACACAGCAAACAAGATATATGTATGCTGGATTTCGTATCACAAAATCACAATATGTATCTTTGAATGATGTGTGCAGATCCAAGTAAGGTGGCCTTTTGCAGTTGACAGTTTGTGATTTTATCAATGTTTATTTTCAAATGCCAGCTGAGATTTTTTGGCATGGCACCCAGTGTGCCGATTACCACTGGGACCACCTGTACTGGTTTATGCCAGAGCCTTTGCAGTTTGATTTTGAGGTCCTGATAAGGGCTGAGTTTTTCCTGTTGTTTTTTGTCAATTCGACTGTCACCTAGTATGGCGACATCAATAATTCAAACTTTTTTCTTTTCCACAGTTGTGATGTCTGGTGTATCGTGTTCCAAAACATTATCCGTCTGATTATTATTATTATTATTATTATTATTATTATATGCTTATTTATATCCTGCTTTTTTTTCTTTCCACAAGGAGACTCAAAGCAGCTTAAATTAAAGCTGGCATTACTTATGCACAAGGATACCTAAACGATGAAATAATTGGCTATAAGGGTACAACAACAACTGAATGAAGATATATTTGTATATAGTTTGAAATATAACTGTGGACAATGCAAAGGATAATGAGTATGAAAAAAATATATTAAAGAACAGCAATAGATTTGGCACATCTGTTGCATTGCTCTTCCTGGACCTGGTACAACTTGACTAATTACAACTTAGAAGGAAGTATGTTATGAGAACAGACAGACACCTCAGGCAGTTCACAGTGAAGCATTTTCTTCCTAGTGAGTACCACTGTAATCTCCTTCCCTTGACCTGCCCAAGGGGAAAAACTCTCTAGAATGACTGAAACATCCAATAATTTCTGTTGTCAAGATATGGCTATATTCATGCAGGAAAGATTAGTTATATAGTGCAATGGTTTAACAAATCTATCAAGGAAATTACTGCCATTTGCAGTGGTTTCTCAACTTTCAAAACACTGTTAGTGTAAATGAATTTTGATTAGAAAAATGCCTGATCTATCATATTTGTGTTGAAGCTTAAATAGCGCTTGATAGTTTTGGAAGCTATTGGGGAGTGGGTGGGTTACAAGCTTTTATTGTTGAAAGACATTTTGTTTTCTTGCAAAATTTTAAATATTATCAAAGGGCCACTGAAAAATTCTTTCAAAATTTCACTTTTATCCACTTCAATATGCCAATAACATGTATTTATTTACCATCCAGATGGAGCCCTCAGTGGCACAATCCACTGTGCCACTGAGGGCTCCATCTGGATGGTGAAACCTTTGTGCCAGCAGGACTGTTAACCGACAGGTTAGTGGTTCAAATCCAGGGAGTGGGGGGAGCTCCGATCTCAGCTCTAGCTACCCATGTGGGGACATGAGAGAAGTCTCCCACAGGATGATAAAACATCAAACATCCAGGCATCCCCTAGGCAACATCCTTGCAGATGGCCAATTCTTTCACACCAGAAACAACTTGCAGTTTCTCAAGTCGCTCCTGACACACACAAAAAACATCCAGATAAAGATGTGCAGAAGGTAAACAATTCCACTAAATGTAGGAGGCATAGTTTAGTGAGCTATTATCTATTTCTACATAGAACTGGATCTAAACTGAATCTTATCTAGAGGCAATCCATTTATTTCATTTAACTTGCTCTTAATAATTCGTGTCAGTTGCTCCTGACATAAAAAAACCTCCTAATAATATTTTTTTTATTTTTTACCCACTTCTCCTTGTGAATCGAGGGAGGTTACAACATAGCTAAACACAAGGCCTGCAGGTCAAATTTGGCTCCCCATGTCGTTTCATGTGGCCATCCAGATGGTGGACTACAACTTGCGTATTCTTCATCATTAGACATCATGACTAGAGCTGTTGAGATTTGTGATATAGTAAGATCTGGAAGGCTGTCGTTCGTTCTGTTTACTCAGGGTAGTGTGGTTTGAGTTTAGATACAAGGCTTGTGGATATGATGTCCTTTAACCCTTCCCCAACCTAAGAGCCACAAGTGCTGTTCGGTTGCAATTCCCATCATCCCTAGTCCACCTGGTGGATAATCAAACATGTTGGGAGTTGTCATTCAATAGCATCTGGGGACTCAAACTGGGGAAAAACTGAAAAGCATTGACTACTGTGTAAAAGAATTATAGTTGGCTCTCTGTATCTATAGATGATCCGTACATGGATTCAATATTCTGTTGAAAGCAACTATTAGTCTGATATAGCTCTCAATGAAAATTAGTTCGATGCTCCTCCCTTATTGGATATTCTCCAAACAAACAAAAATTGCAAGTGTAGTTAGCACAGCTAGGTCGTGAACCATTTCCAATGCCCATGGATGCACGTTGATCCATGCTGACTGGGCATACATATGTCTCCAAACACAATTACTATTCTCAGGTTTTGGAGAGCCATTCACCAATGTAGAAGAATGATGTGGAAGTGAAGGAGCAGGGAATGGACCCAAGCCTATTTTTTCCTGTCCTACTTGAACAGATGAGTAGAGCAATGTATTCAGCAGATGAGCATGCAAAGACTTTTTTTGTGAAGTACCTCATATACAACTTAACACTGTGCCTATGACCCATGAACCAGCAATTAAACTACAGTGAGTTCATTGTTAGAGATGTGACTACTTGATTTTACACAGACAGGATCACATGCTAAAATGAAATCAAAATCAACAATTCATTATATTTCTGTAGAATTCTCCTCCTCCTTAAAATGTATGTTTTTTAAATGGAATATTAATTCATATTTTAATAAAGTTTAAGCTGTAGGTTTGAGATACCAGTCCCTATAAATATTTAGTAAAGATTCCTCTTCTTACTTTGTTCTGCTTATCCTTTTCTTGTTTATTTGTGCTAATTAGTAACCAAAGCCAACATAAAGAAAGTTTTTTGAAGGTGGTTGAAAAAAACCCTTTATTGCAGTGCAAACTTTTTTTGTATATTTATCTATTGACCTTCAGAAGTGCTTGAATCAAAAAGAGTGTTTCCCCAGTATACTTTCAATCTGTAAGTCCAGCAAAGATTTCTATCATCTCATCTAACAACATTTATTCATTTAAAGTTTATTTCGTCTTATATTTGTGCATTTTCCTATGAATTTCATTATGTTAGCCACATCTTCCTTACTCAATTTACACAGGCACTACAGCAACTGCAGAAAAAGAAAGGCAAAAGGAAAGGAAAGCCAGACCTCCAAATCCAGACCCAGTCACCAAAGAAAGAAAAGGAAAAAAAGAGATTTACACTTTGTATTAGAAGCTAACAAACTTGAGATCTGGTGCGGGGGAAACTCATTCCAGAAACAGGGAATTAAGACAGACTATATTCTGTCTGAGATTAATATCTTAAACTTGGTCTCATTCTATAGGTCCACCAATAGACAATAAAACACATTTTTATTCAAAGTGTTTCAGGTTCAATCCTTAGCACCTCCATGTAGGTCCACATTGGGAGTCAACTTATCAAAATCCTTGAGAACAGCAGCCTGTTAATGTAAGGCAATATTGAGCTAGATAGAACAGTTGGCTAACTCAGCATAAGGTTACTATCTAGGCTTTCAGTTTAGTTTAAGTAACTCTGGTGCAAGTACCACTTGCACTCTTTTGCAAGTGGACTGCACCATTTATTTCATCTCTGGGATCTTACCTGAACACAGTTCCTTTACAGCAGTGGTTCTCAACCTGTGGGCCCCCAGGTGCTTTGGTCTACAATTCCCAGAAATCCCAGCCAGTTTACCAGCTGTTGGGATTTCTGGGAGTTGAAGGCCAAAACATCTGGGGACTCACAGGTTGAGAACCACTGCTTTATAGGATCAGATAATGTTGCTCTACTGGAATCAATATGAAGCCCCTGTGGGCATCTAAGTGTATTTCCAGTAAAAGCAAGGAATAAGATCATAAATTTAGTGTTGTCTGGCATGCACTCCAGGTTGAAATTTCCATTAACATTTCTAACAGCAACTTTATCATTTAATACTTTTTAATAATAGAAAACAATATTAAATCTTTGGATTTCAAATGAAACCACAGATATATAGGTGGGATTCATTGCTACTTACCTTTTCAACTGGTGTCGTTTCTTCACATGCCGTTACACTAGCTTTTCTTGATTCGGCTTTTGTTCTACTCAGTCTCCGGGAAACTTTTTCTCTAAGCAAAGTGGCATATCCAATGTGTTCATAGATAGGATTTGTTGTCATTTTAGAAATATATTCAGAAGCCTTTGTTTCTATATACAATGTTATCAAGCCGTCTGTAACCAAATCATGGATTGATTCGAACCTCTTCTCCCCTACAAAGTGCTTCCCATCATAAAAAAGCCTGTAGTTTAAGGTCTGGTTACCAAATCTGCATTAAAACATAGTAAGGTTGTTGTCTTAATATTTGAACAATCAAAACAGGCACTATATAAAAACACCACTTCTTCACAAACTATGAAAGTATAGGAAAACAGAAAACATAATTGTATGATAGCGTTTATAGTCAGTCAAGGAAATGTATAATTAGGCCACATGAAATCTTCACAATTCTGAGGAAGTCTATGCACTGTCCCTCATTTTAACAATTGTCTACACATATCAAGTGTTTCATATATACCTCACCACAGTTTAATATAGATTTTGGTTATGCCAAGTTGCAAAGATGATAATAATTTGTAAACACTCCAGGACATTTTAGGATTACTATAGTTAGTGTAACATTAAATAACTTAACACACATTCCCTACAGAAGTAACATAGCTTACCTAAGAGCTAGAGTATAGCATCCAGGTTGCCGCTGGCTCTCTCTGAGAATATAGGCTCCTTCTACACCACCAAGTAATTCATCAGCTTGTTCGCGAGAAATGATCCCATGAAACCTGACAGAAAAGAAACCTGGCCATTTAGAGAATAGCTCTTGCTCTTGGAGAAGATCACAGAACTTCAAAGCAAAGTTAAAGGAGTGAAGGCGTAATACATGAGTAAAACAACCCATCACAGGTAAGCCCAGCAATCAATGGGACTTTTCTTCCCAGCAGTCAATACCAGAGAAGAGTGAGTATTGACTGAAGGAAATCTAAACTTCTTTTCTCATCTACTGTGATTCCAGAAACCATTGGCCCCTGGCTTCAGATGTTAATTTTTTTTAAATTGTGATACATTTAAATTGCTGAATTAATGATTTAGTACAGGTACGGGCAAAACCAGGCCTGGGGGCCGGATGCAGCCCCTTGGGGTTATTTCTTATGCCCTCCTCTCTTTCACCATCCTATCCTTACTTTCTTCCTTCTTTCTTTCCTTCCTTCTTCCACCCTTCCCTTTTTTCCTTCCTCCTTTTCTCTTCTTCTTCCCTTTTCCTCCCTCCTTCCCTCTCTTCCCTTCCTTCCTTTCCCCCTTTTTCCCTCCCTCCTCCCTTCCCTTCCACTCTTCTTCCTCTCCTTCTCTTCTCTTCTTCTTTCCTCCCTTCCCTTTTTTCCTTCCTCCTTTCCTCCCGGGGGATGTTTAGCTGGGAGAAAAGAAGGTAGAGAGGGAGCATGAGAACCATGTTTCAAGATTTCAAAGGGTGTCCCATTGAGGAGGGAGAAACTTTCTGCTGTTCTAGAGACCAGGGCACAAGGGAGCAATGGGTTCAAATGGCAGGGAAAGAGATTTGACTGAAAAGATTAGGAAGAACTTCCTGAGAGTAAGAGCTGTGGAGAGTTGCAGAGGCTGCCTCAGAGTGTGATAGAAGCTTTTCAACAGATGCTGTCTATAGGGAGTGCTTTGATTGTGCCTTCTTGAATGGCAGGTGCTTGGTCTGGATGGCCCTTGGGGGTATCTTCCTCCTCTAGGATTCTATATCAGGAGTAGGCAATACGAAGTCTAATGGATACAGTTTTTCTCTCCCATCCACCATCTCATCCTGACCGAGGCTAACCCTTTTGAGATCCAAATGTTTCCTGTTTTTCCTTCACTTTCTGCCCCTGAAAGAGAAGGGGAAGGGGAGGAAAGGGGCTTGGGGAGAATCCCTTTCCTCTCTTCCAGCCTGCCCACCCACTCCGGTCAGCGATGTGGCCCCCAAGTTAGAAAGTTTGCCCGTGCTTGACTTAGTAGCACACTCAATTTGTCTCTTAATGTCTCAGCCCAAACATTGGAAAGCTCATAATGTAAGAACTTGAAATTGGCTAAAGAGGAAGCAATATGCAAAAAAGTTCTAATTCAAACCTGAGTATTACAACAGGTGTAACTGCTTGAGCGATGCACATGGCAAATCCCTCTTGGCACTGGACATACAACAGTCATCACAGAAGGATGAACACTGCTAAGCTATTTTGTGTACAAGAGCCGGTGGAACACTTTATGTAATGCTGTACTATCGTGTGTATCAGTGTTTGTGTTAAAGTACAATAAGCGATACAAAACAAAAATACAGAATTTGTCTGCATACTTCAGAGGGGAAAAAAGAATGAATGAATTTAAAACCAGAGTTTGTACCAAGGGGAAGAACTTCTCTAGACTTATGGGAAACATTTTCTCCAAATTTATTGGCGAGAAGGGGCTGGAATGACTCCATGAGATATCAGGGAAATACTAACAATGCCTTCTGACTCAGAAATCACTTGGCCACGCTGCATCTTTGCCCTTATGGATGACATACTTATTTACTGGCAAAGAGGGTTGTCAACTCTATTTTTTCAAACAAAAAATAACTAATGTTAAAATTCTATCATCCAAATCTGGTATAGAAAATTATTTTTATGTCACATTTTGGTTTTAGTTACGATCAGTCTTACACTGTACTCCTTCAATGTAAAAGAAATCAAATAGAAAGCCTTTATCAGAAGAATATAAGCAAGCATGGCCTTATCAGTCTACTGGAACCAATATTCAACAGCAACCTTTGAACAAGGGCAAAATATTACATGAAGATTAATTTAGCTATTAGGTTGCAGATTCATTTACCTAACTGAACACACTAAGGTGCTTTTCAAAGCAAAGCTTTGTTTGGCCTGAAAATAGCAATTCTATGGCAAAAATAATGTTTTTAGCTTTAAGCAACATCTTGCTTCTGCCATTATTCATACAAAGCAACATGTTTCAAATGTTGACTATTGTTTGGTAGAGATGGGAGAGAGGAACAAAGGTAGATTTTGAATTGCTGTTATAAAATGAACCCTAAGCTGTTTCTGAAAAATTAATTAATTCTTTGGCTGCTATGTGCAAAACACTACACAAAGAGGAATTCTCTGGTTATCATCTGGAAAGGCAATAACATTCATATGTAAGGATATAGAGCTACAATTCAATGAAAAAGCTAAACACATGGAAAGTAAAGGAGCTCCAATCTCTCAGGGCACCATGACCACTCCATTAACAACTCTGTATTAAGAATATTAAGTTACACAATGGCACATAACAAATGATTGCATACAAAATAATGGACTGTAATAATTATAAATAGTTCAATACATACTCTCTGCCATAGTACTTTGGTCTGTTCTCCACCTACATGTAAAAAAACAACAAAAAATAATATGACAACATATCTCGAAGATAAACAAGGAACAATAACATTACAGTTTAAGCAGTCGAATCAGCAATATTATGTATACTATGTTTGATAAATATAAAATAGGTAAATGAGCAAGTGCTTATGTGCTCACAAAATAATGGGGTAAATGTTCCAGGAGGAGTCAGTGTGGTACAGTATTTTGAGCACTGGATTACAGCTTTGCAGGCAAAAGTTTGAATCTCTGCTCAGGCATGGAAAGCCATTGGGTAACCCTGAACAAGTCACTCTCTTTCTACCTCAGAGACACCCCCACAACAAATCTGGTCAATAAAGCCCCGTGACAGATTTGCCTTAGGGTTGCCATAAATCAGAAATGACTTAAAGAAACACAACAACAAAATTGTTCCGTGCCAAAGTGAGTAATTTGTGTATGCATTGGATTTCCTCCATCTGCAGTAAAGGCAGGGATTTAGACAATGTGCTCGTAAATTAAAATAACTATACCTCTGTTATATGTGTTCCTGGGCATGTCTTGAACAGAAATGTTTCTTTTTTAAAACACAGTGGAAGGAGATAGTAAGAAATGCTAATCTGGTTTCCTTTTTGTTTTTGATGGGTGCTGAAATGAACTGCTTTTTACCTTGTCCACAGTTGTGTAACTATAGTAGACCAGCTACAGCAGAATTACATTCTGTCTCTGATAAAGCCTTGTTTATTGCATTATTTACTGCACACATGCTGATGTAACCCGGCACCAAAAGTTAGTTTTTCTCCAGCTTTATTTCACTATCTTGCCCAGGTCATTTCCAGAAGATGAGGGGGGGAAAAGTGGGACTGAGTGGATATAAGAAATGGCTGGCATCCTTTTGGGAAGTTGTGTCATAACTGATGGCTTATGACTATATAAAGTTGAATTGAGCCATAGTTCAATGTTCACATTCTCAAGAGTAGAAGAGGGATGCAGCAGCTATGCTTCACTTGCCACTGTGCAAATGACGCCAACAGCATAGCTTTCCCATCATAAAGCTATGCATCATAGCCTATTATCCTAACCATCCTTTATAAAACATAGTTTTACTGTTAGACGCTTTATTAATGGAGTTATCACTATACAGATTGCAACATATAGGCACATTCTTTTGTTTGCTTGCTTCTCAATTGCATCAATAAGTGAAATAACATATGGATGACCCAGCCCTTCAGTTTACCTTGTTTGTTTGTAGCTGATGACCTAGAACCGGATCTTTGGCTGTGTACTTCACTTGCTGTTAACTGCTTGCATCACTGGATTTGCTTAATGAAGCCAAATTTGTGTTCTGAAGATGTCCCATATTTAGTGCAGACTTTCACAAGAAAAAAGTTCAATATACTTGAAGCTAATGACATATCTCCAGTATTTTATTAAATTGTTGTTGTTCTATGCCTTCAGGTCGTTCCTGACATATGATAACCCTAAGATGAAGCTTAGGGGAGCCCCTGGTGGCGCAGCGGGTTAAACCGCTGAACTGCTGAACTTGCTGACCAAAAGGTTTGTGGTTTGAATCCAGGGAGCAGAGTGAGTTCCTGCTGTTAGCCCCAGCTTCTGCCAACCTAACAGTTCGAAAACATGCAAATGTGAATGTAAGAAGGTAACAGCACTCTTTGCAGTCATGCCGGCCACGTGACCTTGGAGACATCTACGGACAACGCCAGCTCTTCGGCTTAGAAATAGAGATAAGCACCACCCCCCAGAGTCGGATACGAGTAGACTTAATGTCAAGGGGAAACCTTTACCTTTTAGGGTGAAGCTAACATGACATTTTCTTGGTAAGATTATTTAGAGATGCCCTTTGTCTTCCTCTGAGGCTGAGAAAGTATAAGTTACCTATGGGTTTCTAGGGCTGAACAGGGATTCACTCCCTGGTCTCCAGGATCACAGTCCAAAACTCAAGCCACTATACCATGCTGGCTCTCATGTTACTAAATTGTGTAATAAAGTAATCAAAATATAAAACCTAGCAAACTCCTTAAATATTTAAAAGAATTTCAAGATTTTCAAGAGAAAAGGAAAGCATAAGCCTGGCACCTCAGTCACACAAACATTTTCTTATAACAGAATACCATTATTTCAGTACAACTGACTGTATACATGAATGTACTGTAGACTGCAAGTTAAAGGAGCAACAGTATTCATTTAATTTCATTGAAATAAGCACTGCTTGCTCAGCAGCAATACCTGGAGGAATGCGCCCTTGATCAGGAGAAATGACAAATTAATCCAAAGTGCCACACAATGTGGTCAAATGTTAATTTAACATAGAGAAACAGTAGGCCAGCAGGGGGCAGTTCCTTATAATGATTGGTTCACTGTGTTTTTATTTAATGCTATGTTTATTATTTTAACAAGTGGATTTGTAGATTAATTAATTAAAGTATTTATATCTTGCCTTGTACCTAGAGATCTGGGTGTTAGTTAGAGGCAATCAAATATTCACATTCAAGATTCACTTGATTTAAATATTGATTACTTATGTACTCTTAATTGATTGCCCTGTATCATGAGGTACTAAAATTACATCTGGATCTATAATAGTAAACTTTAACATTTCATTTAAATGTTTTATTGATTGCATTATTTCCCCCCCCCCCCAAATGAATAGGTTCTAGTTAAGGGAAATTACTAATTATTTTGGGATTAATAATTCATATATAGTATTTCAATGGACAGAACTATGGCTGGTGTATTTTTGAGTTGTTTTGAATTCAAAGTGGAGATCATGAATACACTATGAGAGAAGCTGTTAGTTGCACTTTGCATTTAGAATGCTGCTTTTCCCAGTGTTCATGCAGCTTTTACTCACATACAGAAAGTTGTACACCATGGCTTGCTTTACAGCTCAATAAGGCGATTCTGATTTGTTTAACTTTATTCTTCATAATATTAAAGTATGTCTTTTTCAGCTACCTCAATAATTGCTAATGCAAAAGTAAAGCATATATTTTGGATTTATGGATAAGGGAGGCTCATCCTATATCAGTTATAGCTAAAGCCACTGATTCAGTGAAAATTTGGAAAGTAATTTTTTTTAAAAAAATCCAATGATTCAATGTTTTCACTATAAATGAGACTAGCAATTAGACTTGTCTTCCTGGAGAGTTAGCTGGGGCCTCTTCAACTGTTAGCATTCCTCCTACATGTGTATATCTGCTTCTGGAAATATATTTTCACTTTTTAAGGGTATCACAGCAAACATGCTCCATGCCAGGTAATGGCCAAGTCTAGTTCAGTTTGGCAACCATCACAGATAACATTATTGTAAATGAGTCCCTATGGTGCCTGCTGCCAGTTTAGAAATACTTTAGAGTGCAATATTCTGGAAACCCTGAAATTGGCTGGTCATCATCCCACAAAACAATTTTGACAACAAGCTGAATGCCTTTAACAGTCTCTGATGCATTTGCTAAAAAAAATTCCAAACCCCTCAACATCTACAATACAGCTGTCCTGATACTCCGCTCCACAACAGTGGAATCTCTTTGAAATGGCTAGTGTATATTTATTTACTATATACATTTGTCTAGTTTCTCCAAGGAACTCAGAGAAGCACTTTAGCATCAGCACAATTCAAGTGTAAAATGTCAAAACAATTTCATAAAAAAGTCTGCCTCAAAAATAATGTTTTCCTAGGTTTTAGGCATGGCTTAGTTCTGTGAATTCAAGATCAGAGTTCATATAGATATGACAGCTTCTGAGAACATAACTAAACTAATACTGGGGAAAAGTATATCTTACAATATATTCTGATTTATTGTATACATCAAGCAAATCCATACACAATAATAAACTATGAGAGAATTTGCAGCATAGTAAATTCTGGGTGTTTTGGACTTCAACTCCCACAATTCCTAACAGCCTACTGGAGTTAAAGTTCAAAACACCCGGAAAGCCGATGTTTGCCCATGCCTGGGTTAGAAGAATGGAGGAATAACTGGATTAATTTATGTTAAATGAATGATGGAGAAGAAAATTAAGTGGATGTGTCCTGGGCTGCTAAAATAAGCCAGGTTCATTGAAGTAAATAGTATTTACATATAGGTAAATGCATTTAGAACTGGAGTAAAAGCTCCTGCTGATTCAATAAAACTCATTAAAATTTCTGTGACTTGAAGGGAAACCTTTTGCTTTGGTAAATATCTTGCAATGATCTCCCGCTACGACTATAAAATAGAAAAAAAACACATAGTATGAGTACAGCAAAAATGTACTGTAGCTATTGTATGTGGGATAAATATATGCCCTAAAGACAGTTTCTCATCTCAAGGAAATAGTCTATTTTGATATCCAAACTGATAAGAGAGATTGCCTTAATAACATCCTATGAGTTTAGAACTATCAATGTATATATTATTTATTAAAATATGTATATCCTATGTCAAAAGACTTCGGGGTGGTTTATTAATAGCATTAAACCAGGTTAAACTGTTTTTATAACAACAACAACAACAACAACTTTATTTTTGTATCCCATCACTATCTCCCCGAAGGGACTCGGGCGGCTTACATGGGGACAAGCCCGATCAAACATATTTTAAAATATAGCACACTAAAATTCATAAACAATATCATAAAAGTATAAAATAATCATGGAACAAACAACCAATAGCCTGACATTGTAAACAATTACTGAGCTCGGGTGGGCAGGCTGGTGCAAATCAGTTGCAAGGACAGGGCTGATGGATAAAGTGCAAGAGCCAGATGATAAATTAGGAGTAGAAGGGCAATTTGAAATATAACTTATATCTATAGGGCAGGGAACAATGGTAAAGTGCAAGGGCTAGATCTTGGGTTATAGATGAGGGGATGGAGGGCGAAATTATTTGGGGAACTGTTTAATCAAAGGCAAGATAATTTAAATAGGCTAAAAGCATATTAACACTAGATTTTAGTAAAATGCTGGGTTTTTTTTAGTAGCTGGTGTATCAAAAAAATGTAAACATTGCAACAGAATTATTT